AAACGCCCGCCAAGTAAACGCCCGCCAAGTAAACAGGTAAACGCCCGCCAGGTAAACGGCGTCCAGGTAAACGCCCGCCAGGTAATCGCCAGCCAGGTAAACGCCCGCCAGGTAAACGGCGTCCAGGTAAACGGCGTCCAGGTAAACAGGTAAAAGCCCACCAGGTAAACGGGCGCCCTTTTACCTGGTGGGCGGGCACCGGGCGCCTGCCCGCTGCCGGCCCACCAGGTAAAAGGGCGCCCGCCACAGGCCTCCAGGTAGATAAGATAAGAGCTTTATTGATCTCACAGTGGAGAAATTCACTGGTCACACATCGGTTAGAGTTCAAAAGGAGGAAAAGGTGCATAAAGTACAAACAAAAACAAACAAATAAACAAGGAAGCAACACTGCGCAGAGATGGCCATTGGCGGACGCCGACCTGGAGGCCGTTTACCTTGCGAGCGTGTGTGTTTATGTGTGTGTTTATGTGCGTGTGTGCTTATGTGTGTGTGTTTATGTGTGTGTGTGTGTCACCAGGTGTGCACCTCCTGCTGTGAGGGAAACATCTGTAACGTGTTGCTTCCCCGGAACAGCAGCAGCGCCGTCTTCTCCTCCAGAACGCCGCCGCTCAGCAACGCCCCGAGGCTCCGGAGAGAGGCCATGATGCTCCTCCTTCTCCTCCTCCTCCTCCTGCTCCTCCTCTAACCGGACCGACGCCATGCTGCTCCTCCTCCTGCTCCTCCTCCTCCTGCTCCTCCTCTAACCGGACGGACGCCATGATGCTCCTCCTCCTGTTCCTCCTCCTCTAACCGGACCAACGCCATGATGCTCCTCCTCCTCCTCCTCCTCCTCCTCTAACCGGACCAACGCCATGATGCTCCTCCTCCTCCTGCTCCTCTAACCGGACCAACGCCATGATGCTCCTCCTCCTGTTCCTCCTCCTCCTCCTGCTCCTCCTCTAACCGGACCAACGCCATGATCCTCCTCCTGCTCCTCCTCCTCCTCCTCCTCTAACCGGACCAACGCCATGATGCTCCTCCTCCTCCTGCTCCTCTAACCGGACCAACGCCATGATGCTCCTCCTCCTGTTCCTCCTCCTCTAACCGGACCAACGCCATGATGCTCCTCCTCCTCCTGCTCCTCTAACCGGACCAACGCCATGATGCTCCTCCTCCTGTTCCTCC